CTACCAGAGCGCTATGGGTAAACAAGCTATGGGAGTTTACACAACAAACTTCCATGTTCGAATGGACACACTCGCACACGTTCTCTACTATCCTCAGAAGCCACTTGTCACAACCAGATCAATGGAATATCTGAGATTCAACGAACTTCCTGCTGGAATCAACGCTATCGTTGCAATCCTCTCCGTCGGTGGGGGGAGGCGGGAATCAAAGTATAACTTTAAATCCGACAATAACTTTAATAAGATAAAAGTAGTTTTCCCACCAATCTCATACGATGATAGGAGTAATATTATAGTCAACGGACATGAATACGCGAGGCCCTCTTCAATACAGTATTCGAAATACTTCCGGAAATGCGATCTTATGACAACTTTCAACCCATCTGTGGGCTTCCAACGTAAACCATCGTCACTTCAGTATTTCCATAGACCGCACAGACAGCTGGGAAAAGTCGAAGAGGAGGGATGTGGCTGAAGGCTATACCGAGAAATTCTGAATTCCTTTCGAAATAAGCAACATGCATGTCACAATCGATCACTAGACGAATTTTTTCTCCAACCTGAACATCAAAAATAATTTCCGAAAATTCCGATAAATTTTCAATTATTTTGTTCCGTACCTCATATTTGGGCGGGTTGTTCATTTTTGGATAAACCCCCAGCTGGACTCCATTGTGCATCAATACATTATCTACTAAATTCCAACCCCATGATTGGTCGTCTGACCCAAGAAGTGCAATATAACCAACACAATGAAGAGCTGCGTGCCTGAAGGATACAGTACTTATGCAAAAAAAAAAAACAGAGTTTATTACTTACTTGGTAGCGAACCCAACGACCGCAACAGTCCCCAGTGGACCATCCCAAGTGATGTCGAACGCATGGACACCTTGAGAAACACCACGCTTCCCACGAACGCCATCTGTAGATTGAGCCACTGGTTGTCGATGAACAGTGAACCCATTTGTGCGAATGTAGTTGTTCCGAGATATATCATTTGTGTTCCATGCAAAGTACCATGCTCTTAACTTTTTGCGGGCTGATCTAAGCTCAACAAATAAGAATGGGTCAGAATGTGCCGCTTCTGGCAATTTTTGAACAAGAAGTTGCTGCCAAATGTCACTATCTTCCATGGAGAGTGCGTTGTTCCAGCTGTGGCAAGTTAGCATTGCTGATCGGAGATCTGAACCGATACAAACAGACAAATATGAAAAATATCGTCACATACCTTTCAGGGACAAATATTGGAAAATCTGATTCAAAACCTTTAAAGGAAGACGTGAAGCGGAAACTTCAGGACGCCTCGGTGAACGGCGTCTTCGGGGAGCAACACTGTGCGAAGTTAGGTCTGGAGGCGTCTCTTCAGAACTTTCAATAGGGGGGTTTCCCTCGCCATCACACTCCACGATAGATATTTTCCGTTCTATTGGACTTTCAACGTTCTGAAATTGGAAAGATTCTAAACTCAAATCAGTTTGTCAACTTACTTCGAGATCACTGCTTTTCATGGGTGTCGATGATGTTAGATTGCATTGTTCGTCAGGGACGATCGTTTCTTCGTTGTTTTCCGTCATTACTCGCTTTTCACGGATTCAACTGCATCCTGTCAAGCAAACCTGGATCAAGGAACTGCACCAAAAAAAGTTTCAATAATACCATAGATGATATGACAGAAAATAGGGTTAGATATGATTTCGGTGAATAAACCGATGACTTACAAAACAAAGAGTACAATTGGTTTTATAGAGATTTTTTAAACAAACAAAGAATCTGCTAACAATTAAACTTCGAATAGAAAACCTATGGAAATACTGACGAAAGTCAGAAAAACGAAAATAACATACACCGATAGCAAGATTTTCTAATTTACTTCTTGACTTTAGCAATCTTGGCTTTAGTTTTATCTCTTCCTGCCGCTTTCTTTGCATCAGCATCAGAATAAACAATAGAGGGTGATGTGAAACGGAATAACTTTGGCGAAAACGTTTCCTTGAAAAGCAGGTTTTTCGGAACAACACCTTCTTCTGGACACTCGGGTTCTTCTTCAATAGTTTCCAGAGATGGAGTCCATGTTGGCATTGGACCAGACTAAAAAACCCCGATTAGTATGAAACTACATCGTTTATATGCACCTTTAATCGTTTCTCTTCTTGAAGACAATCTTTTAGCAAGAGTTTCTCTCCCATATCGCCTGGAACCGATCCTTTCACATACATGACTTGCTTGTCAATATTAATTCGAACAATCTGTAGACAGATATTGAAACAAAGCTAGATTTCATTATTTAACCTCTAAACCCGAAACAGTTTTCCATTCGTAACCCATGTGTCCCGGCATTCTCTTTCCTGGCCAAATTCTGGCATCACCTACTGATCCTACCGAACCGATCCTGCGGTGAGACTTGGTTGTTCGGCGTGTTGGTTGCCCACGCATACCCCAACGATGCATTCCACCCTTCAAACGTTGATATTAGGCTCGAAGATGTTAAGCGGTGAAACGGAAAGTCGTGGTGAAATTTTTCGCTTACTTGGAAACCCCAATCAATCGTTTTTCCAGTTGCAGTTACATATTGTCCAACCTCGAAGTGGCGAGCATCCAGTGGTTGTCCTAGTAATGGGAGAGCATCTTCCGTCACCAAAAAGCATCCAAGAGTTTCTTTAAAATTTTCAATGAACAAATATCCTGATTATTCAAAAACACTACCTTTGACTGGTACACCAGCTCTGGTGAACTTTTTTCTATAGGCAGAGGTGTAGTTTGTCGGATCTTGATTTGTTGCCCCAACAGTTACTCTCCACATAGGTCCGTGCCGATTAAATGCCTTTCTTTTTCCAATCGCTGATGCTTTATACCAAGAATCCGGAGATGTGATGCCGACAACATGGTTCTCGTCGACTTCTAGAATAGTACACAAAATTCGACCTCCTTCTTTGGTCCACTGCGGAAGCATTCCAATTTTGCGCACAACAAGTCCTACCCGTCGTGATGATGCAGGAATATCAGCGATAGAAGTGGCGGCCTGGTGAGAGGCATGATTTGCAAATGTTGAAGCTACTTGAGTTTCTTTTTCGATAACAGTTTCTAGGAGGGTTCTAAATATGGTAAAGGTAATAAATATGAATTACGCAAAAACTCACTTAGTTACTTTGCTGATTCCAACGCTAGATTTCTTAACATGCTCATTGACTGGAGGAAGCCATGGAACGGGTGTCAGTGTTCTTCGGCGACCTCTCTGCTGAGTTATATGACCACCGTTCGCCGAAAGAATTCGGCCGGCAAACTCACAAGCTGGGCTGTTCGTCACACTAGTTACTAGTGAGCGAAACATCTGAAAAGAAAGCGATGATTATAATAGCATGAAAATAAAAGAATTGAGAGAAATAAGAAGCTATGCACTTATTTCCCGGTTTTGATAGATGTCAATCTGAGCATGAATGTTAAAAGGTAGGAAACCAAACGAGGTGAAATATATAAATAATTTCGCTTAGAAATACTTTTGTTGAAAATCCAATCATCAAAAACCCTATAAAAGAACTCATGAGCTGACAATGAGGTTTTTTCGAATAAATTCATACTTCAATAATTGAAATTCGGTGTTCTGCCATCTGCTAAACAACGCTCGATCGTAACGGCGGAGTGTCGTTGTTACGAGAGAGACAAGATTCATGCTGCAGTTGCCTTGACAGCAGATTTAGAAAACTGAATTTCTAACGGAAAGTGCCAAAAGTGAAAGCTTTCATATAAGTAGAATTGTGTGAAAACTTAACAAGTGAAATAGGCTTGGGGGAATTGCACCCTCTCAATTTGAATTTCGAATGTTCAACTCAATTTGATAAACATAAGAAAAATTAGTTAGTATCAGTATTATTTGACAATTTAAAACTGTTCGAACAATTATAGTTTCTCAACTTTTGATGCTACTGATAGTAGGTCCAATGACGTCGAGCATGGATTTTTGCATGAAGGTCGGTAATAACTCCGGCAAATGGCGGCTAACCAAGAGAAGAAATACATGAATTTGTCGTCTCCGTTGAAAATGGAACACAGATAGGCGGAGGAACGAACATACCTGAAATATAATTTTCAGATTTGTAGAGAAACATCGAAATATCATCACTAAATACCAATAACACTTGACGTTTCAGAGTCAATTGGTTGGAGAAAGTATCAAATTTTCTCTTTTCGGAATCGGAGTGCAGACGACACTGCAAGTTCTGATAAATGATGATAATCACCGCAATAAATCAAACCTTCATAGAAAACGTTTGGTAACATTGAAACTCTTCCGAACCGCTTGAAATGTTTGATAAAGTTTCGGGAGTGGTAGACTCGTGCTCGTTCAGATTACCAGAAGTTGAACAATCAACATCCACGCCAGAATCTTTGCTGGGTATCGCAGTGAATGTTGGAATGTCTGATTTTTCTTCATCCGGAGAGATGTCTGCCTCGTTCTCGGAGATATCTGTTTCAAATGAGTCCTCCCACTCGAAAATTTCATCAGTAATTAACATAGTTGTTTTGAATTTTTGAATTGTTTCGAGATCAAAATCAGCATTATTTTTCTGAATCTTTGTATTGGTTTTCTCAACGACGGGTGTTGAAATGGAGCACTTTTTGAAAATTGTCGTAAGCATAAATTCTTCTACTTTTGGAGAGTATCTATACACAGTTGGGTAGCATTGGACGGAATGATGGGTGGGGAGATCTTGGCATGGCGAAACAACAATACCGTAATTCTGGAAAAAAAACACATATACCGTTTTAAACTCAAAGAAGATACTTACATCTTCGGCTTTTTGTAGTACAAATGATTCCAAAGATTCTACGTTAGCCGTATCCACAAATCGGACAAGATTCATGTCAGACAAAGCATGGATGTTTTCAATGTTGTCAGATAGGTCTGCCGACTTTTGATAAATTTCAGGCAGATATAAAACTGTTTCATGGCCGTCTAGAATGAAATGTAAGAGTATCTCGACAAGAGCCCTGATGGGGAGTTTCTGAAGCAATCGCAGTCGGGAATCAAGGCAGATCATGAACTCACGGGCGGTTTTGAATCGGTGGAGGGAAGCAACACTTGAGTAAATGCCAGTCCGTCTGTAATTGATTAAAATTGTTGAAAATTTGATTACTGATTAAAAAAAATGATGTATATGCTGACCAACAAAAACTGGTCTTAACTCCCAGTCTTTTTCTCTTTGACACATTATGGACGCGTTTTCAGCTGATATGTTTCTATTCCAAGCCAACGATAAGTCGGTTATGGTAATTAGCTTCAATCGGCGGTTTTCGTCGAACCGACACATGAACTTCTGGATCATGAGATTGAATGTTCTTTCTAAACTCGCATCGACCCGATTGTAGTGGATAATCCACAGTACTTCTTGAACGTTCTCTAATATTTCTTTGAACTTCTTCTGTTTTTTAACTTCTTCAGGTACTCCTTTGTACGTTCGAAGTTTATCTTGGTTTGCCTGTTCGAGAAAATCACAATGATTAGCGGGAGCCGAGAAGTTTCCGTCCCTCCATGGTATATGACCGGCGAGTCTTCTGGAACTTACTGGGAATTATAATGCGGTGCTTTTATATTTTTGAAAAAAGTTGACCTAGAAAGCGAGAACACTTACCTATTTGGATACACCATTTCAAAAATCTGTGCAGCGGTTCCTGATACATTTCCATCGTGCCAGAGCAGTTCTTCGGTGAATGGGCGTATCGGAGTGTCTCCTTCCAAAATCTTACTCGGAGCTGCGACAAACCTTCTATCGGCCTTCTAAATTTTAGGAAAATGAGCAAAAATATTTATAGCTTTGACTAACTTTTCCTGGTCTCGGATTCCGTTGTTTGTCTATTTCTTTGATTTCTGCCCAAAGCTTTGAATTCTTTTCCTTTTGCTCTTTCGTTAATCTATAAAAAGTTAATTAGAACTGTGTAAGTATTTGTTTAGCGAACTTTGAAACTTTTTTCCTGTTTATAGGCAACCGTTCTATAGATGCTTCCGAATCTGAACTGTCATACATATTGTACATGATGCCTCGTGGTGGATCCTGATTTGATGCATACTCGGTGAAGTTGGAGGGCATCTTAAAAATTACATAATGCTTTTTGTGAATGTTCTTCTTCTATGCAAAAACAAAACATAAAGAATTGACAAAAAAAGTTCGAATTCATTCATTTGAATTCGAAAAAATTCAATTTTTCTCAGTGGCCGAAAATTTTTAGTCCGCGGGAAATTCTAGGTCACTGTACCCACAAATCCTAGGAGGACATATTTTTGATAGAGACATAAAATTGAGTGAGCATTTTACATAATTGCATGATTTGAGATTGACAAAACAGTCGAAACAACCAAATTATTCCAGAAAGTCTCAAATGCGGTTGTCATTGATTAGGCGCGCAACGATTTCACAAATACAAAAACTCATCAAAGATGATCTGAACATCTTGAAAGTTGATAAATTTGTTTTGAATGTTAAAGCTGGCTCTGGCGGATCTGGTTTGGCGAGGTCTGTTCATCGAAAATGTGGAAAAAATTATAATTCTAGTTTTCAGATACGATGGAGTAGGAGGAAATGGTGGAGATGTTTTCTTTGTTCCCAAGCCATCTCTCGCTTTCGCAGATATCAAAAGTCGTTTGAAAAATAAAATGAAAGTAAAAAGGGATTAAGTCGGAACATTTAAAACCAATAGAAAATTTCACAGATTCGATCAGATAACGGTGGGAATGCTACAAAAACTACACTGATTGGACAACATGCGAAGCATCAGTTTTTTGATGTTCCAGTAGGAATCGAAGTCGTGGACCGAGATAATAATGTACTTATTGCTAGATGTTCGAAACCATTTGGTCGTTATTTGATTGCACATGGTGGGCAAGGAGGTTATGTGAAAACAGGATATAAGTAGGTTATCAATATTATCAAAGTTGAAACTAATAAACTAATCTAGGGGAGCAAGAGGCGAGGCATTGGATGTCGAAATTCATTTGAAACTGCGCCCTAATATCGGTCTTCTCGGATTTCCAAATGCTGGAAAATCAACACTTCTCAAAGCTCTGGTACCAGAAAAATCGGTAAAAATTGCCGAATACGCCTTCACTACAGTCCATCCTCAATTAGCATTCTACAAAAGCAAAAATGATAATAATAGCTCTCTTCTAGAAGGTGAACCATATTAAATTAAATTCAAAATTCTCCAATTGATAAAATTTGAGATAACATGTTTACTCTATCTGTCGCTGATCTACCTGGAATCATCGAAGGAGCATCGCAAAATCGAGGCAAAGGATACAAGTTTTTGAAGCACCTGGAGTATGCCGATGTCATAGTTATGATAATTGATAGTCAAGGATTTCAGCTGAAAAACGATTTGGACTGCCCATTTAGGTATTTAGTTTTATAATATTGTTTCTACACTAATACTTTTCTCAGAACCCCACTGGAATCAGTTTCTCTACTCAATAAAGAACTAGAGCTTTACGATCCAAAGCTAGTGAGGAAGCCGGCTATTTGTATTCTGAATAAAGCGGACACTTTAGACGAAAAACAAAAAAAGGTGTCGATTTTCTATCACAAAACTGCTTAAAAACATATTTCTTAGAAAAAAAAAGAAGCAAACTCCCATATTTACTTTTTTGATAAAACGAGATTTCAGGAAATATCTCTGCTCATATCGTCACTAGGAACTCAAAAATGGGTGGATGATGTTCCGGAAGACTTGCGTCCCAAAACGCCAATGAAATTCGAGCATGCTATCCAACTCAGTGCTAAAAGTAAAGACATCGACGAATTTAAAAAAATACTGACACTCATGCGACATCATTTGCACACACTCAGTGATATGAAAGAAAATCCGGAGGATCGTAGAGCAGTAAAAAAGCAGTTTATTTAAACGATAATTTTTTTTTTCAATTTCTAATAAACAGCCATTCGAACAGCTAAATATCATTGGATTGCTCGAGAAAGAAGATGAGACAACACCATTCAAACTGGCGCGCGAAAACGTCGGCGCGGCCGCGTCGCCGAGTCTTTGGCCTAGGAACCTCCTACCTAGTTTCTCGGCCTCACCCATTTTTCGCGCCGTTTCACTAACTTGGCTGCAGTTTCGTTTCGGGGTTCAAAATTTTACTCCGAGTAATTTGAGATTTTCTGATTTTTCTTTCTGTTTTTTAAAGAGTAATTCAAATTGAACGAGTTACGTTTAACTAATTGGAAGAACTTCTAATGCATCGGTCGCCGTGCAAACTTGTTTGATAAAAACTCTGTAAAACGGTACTTTTTTTCTAGATTTCTTGAAAATCGGTTGAAAATTGCAACTTCTTTGCAATTTTCTCCATTGTAAAAAGTCTGATGGAAAATGTCCACACGAGAGCCTCCGCTAGTCACAACTACACGGCAATCGCACCCGAAACATGATAAAGTACGGTAAAGCAGCATTTGTTAATCCGATTCATAAGTGAAATTCGACATTTTTCAGACTAACAATAGAAACAACAACCAAAAAGGGGAAAACCACAGATGCAGAAATGCATGGCAAAAAATATTCGAGCCGGGAAAGCATATTCTTCGAATCGATGGAGCTCCTCCTCAACAATGCTCGCGGGAAGATTTTGAGGTAAATTTTCAAATAGTTTCGAAAGATTTATCAATAATTGCCAGTTAAAATTTAAGAAAGTACTATAGTTTCAATCATGGCGAATATTGAAATCATACATGGGGGTTTTTTGTGAACAAAAACCGGCTTTTCAGCTATTTTTGAGGTAGTGAAATGTTTTTTCACAATTTAGCTCGCAATATGATATTTTAAAGTGAAGCGATACTAGCGAACACAATGGTATAAAAAAGCGAGCTGAAAAGTTTCTTCTCAAAAAATTATGCAGCTCGCAATGCGAAAAAATTCAAAAAAATTTAAAGCTCTCTCATGTGAGATTAAAATGTAAAAAAAAAGGCGTTATTTGTGGTTTTTCAATACGAAATTGTTTATAAAATTGAACTTCGAAATCTAATTTGAGTCGTTTCACAGAGAGTAAAACGCGCTGGAGTGAGGAAAATACCGGATGGTACGCTGGCTGATCCTCGCGAACATCAGGACAGTATGAAAAACTCAATTTATCACGATGTCCGCCTTCGGTCCACAAATCGCTATCTTCCTCTTCCTCGCTTTCGGATCGATTCAAATTACTGTACAGTTCCTCCAAAACGAGAAGTTTCTTTGTTCAATATGGACGATAATTGTACAGAAATTCTCTTGAAAGATTTTGCTCAGTAAGTATTTTTACATATGTGTGTGATGCTTATTTCACTCTTTCAGAGCATGTGGAGAAGTCGAGAAAGCATACGTCTGCCATCATCCAGAAACTCAAAGACATATGAAAATGGCATATGTAGTTTTCAAAACTCCAAAAGAGGCGAACAATTTTTGCAATAAGTATGAAACACAAAATCTACTTGCTACAAAATGCACATGCAAAATCGATCCTTTTCGTAAGTTTCAACAGGAGAAAGCAGTTCAAATTCTTACCAAAAAAACAATGAAATTTCAGTATCTTCGCTGAATGATGCTTATGAAAATGCAACCAAGTGTCCACTTCCACAACTACCTCGTGATTTGGCCGCTATAGACAACACCGTCTTGAAAGAACTTCGAAATAGCTTCCTTCGTGGAAAAGAGGAAATATACGAAGAAGAAGAAGAAGAACCATACGTTTCGGAAATGGACCCAAATGTTACATCAACATCTAATTTTGTTAATGATACCCAAAATTACCAAACAGAAATGGACCTTGGTTGGATTAAACTAAGATTTTCACCAGTTCAACTAAGCTTTTCTTCAGAACCATCGCCAGAAGTACCACCGCCACCGCCACCACCGATAAGAATTCCATCACCACCCCCTCCACCGCCTCCAAAACCGTTGACGATGCCTCCTATCCCCATTCCGGCGCCCCACTATGGTCATTTTTTACCAAGTTCCAGTTCAATGCCAGAATTCTGTCCGTCAGGTGAGGCTCTTTGCTCCCCAGTGTTCAATTTCTCTCTCACCTGCATGTTTTTTTTGTTATGTTCGTACGGCTTGACCACTTTACAGATTTAAAAGACGAAATGAAACAACCCGCGGTACCGCTATCACCTACTCAAAATAGCTCTGAAAGTTCGGCTGAAAATCTTGATATCAATACCGACGTTAAAACGCCAAAACAATTTCGATTCGGTGGATGGATGCAAAAAACACCGATGGCCAATAACGTTCTTAAAGAGATGAAAAAACGCCTTTATTGTGAAGAAGAATTTGAGCCGACCCCCAGACCTAAAGACGAGAAGCTGATGCATATCGAAAATGATGCATTTCTCGATGAAAATTTCAAATCTCCAGGTTCATCAAATAATGTCTCAAAAAACAGTACTTGATTTTCAGTCTGTCTGTGTATTATGATTTATTGCATGCTTTATCACTTCAAGTTGATTTTTTTCATGTTAGTTATTCATCAATGAATGTTACAGAACCACCACCATCATATTCTCGTGAAGATCCTTACCGGAGTAGTAGCCGGGTGTCAAACTCTCGTAGACGACACCGGTCTGGAAGCTCATCGGACGAAAAAGAACAGTCCCAACGGAGTTCCAGTAGAAGGCATCATCGCAGGACAGATTCGAGTAATCGATCTATGGATAACGGAGATGATAAAGGTGTTGTGAAAGAAACGACGGTGATCAAACTGGAAAAGCGCAGTATCAAATATGGATCAGGAGAAATGTATGAGCAGGTTCACATCAGGAAAAGAACGGCCGTGATACGAGGAAAAGAACAACAATTGGAAGATATATCTTCAGACGAAAATAATTCGGCTTCTGTTTCCGGTTCTACAAGTACCAGCACCACTGCAACCTACCCAGACCTCTCTGATGAAGAGAGGAAGAAAAAAGTGAGTGAGATTGTTCGGCTGTGATTTGTTCATTGTTTATATTCTTTCAGAAGAAATGTACTTCTCCAAACGGACCGGCTAAAGGAGCTAAAGCATTTGGGTGGTCTGACATTGATGAATCTGATGATGACAATAGAATTCGAAGAGGTGGAAGATCGAAGAAAAATGAATCGGAACGGAAGTCTCGCCTACTGACGTCGTCATCTTCGAAACGAGACATTTCGAATTCGCAGGCTAGTAGTACCCCGAATCTAAAATCTTCAAGAACTCCTCCACCTCCTCCGCCATCAAGAGGGCACCCGCTACATCCAATGCAGCATCCAAATGCTTATCCGGTCCATCATCCACATCATATACCACCGCCACCGCACATGATGCCTTTCTACCCGATGCCTCCACATCATCTACCTCATGGACCGCCTGTCCCAATGATGATCCCTCCAGCAATGAGTAATAAAGGAATAGCCAATTGCGATTTTCGTCAACCACCTCCCGGATTTATTTCATCATTCACAACATCGTATCCTCCGGTTCCTAATATTCCACCTCCTTCCGCAATACCGGTCCGATATCAAGCTCCACATCTTCCCCAACCTGGATTGGTCCATATTACCTCTTTGTCGGCAATTCCAGACGCCGCTGAGGGCGTTCCAGGACCTCCATCCTTGCGTCCTTCCCAAAGAACTGATAGTAGTCGTAATTCGGAGTCGCCCGAGGGGCATAATATCACTCTTCAACAAAGATTCTCACAGTTATTCGGCGCAAAGAAGGAAGAACAAGCTCAGAGTTTTGAAGTTGAAAGAAGAGAGTATGCTCCCAGGAACTTTGAACCTCAAGATGATCGACATTCTTTGGAAGATATGGATGTTGAAGTTTCTAGTGATGGAGAAACTAATTCACAAATAGAAAGGAGTGAATGTATGGAGGAAAAGAGGCAACAGGTATTATATCAGATGCTAGAAACAACGAAACATAGAACTTTCAGATGATGGAACGTATCAACGAAATAAGAGCTCCTATTGTTCAGTCTTGTCATAAACAAATAGTGAATGAACTTCAATCAAAAATCAGTGATGATCTTCGGCAACAAATCATGAGGCAATGTATGGCTCATTTGGATGAGAAACTTCGTTTGAAAGCGATAGCAGATGTGGAAAAAATGAAGCGGGAGCGCGAAGAAAAGGCGAAACAAGAAGTAGCGAAACCAAATACCAACATGATTGCAGAGTTGATGGTGAGTTTTTGTTTCCTTTTATAGTTTGAGCCATTTTTTGAGCAATATACTCATAATAAATAAGTTTTCTCAGACTCTCTACACCAATCAGTCATTTGCAAACATAGGACGTCGTAACATCGTGTATAGAGTGAGTTGTGCCTTTTAATTTATCAAAACGAGATTATCCTCTGTCTCAGTTTGATATTTCGAAACAATTTTTCTTTTGAATGACCACTTACTGATGATCATTCGTGTTCCCATATTGATAAAACGAGAAAAAGAAATCAATTACGCTTTTCAGAAGCAAAAGCCGATACCAAAGCGCAAACACACTCGGAAAGAACACCATCATGACCAGGATGGGCTATCTTCGCCTCGTTCGCCTCGCTCAGTGAACTCTTCAAGAGACTCCTCACCGATTCAACGTTCAAGGCGAGTGTCTTCGTCGTCTTCCAAATCATCGCTATCTAAAAGTTCATCCGATAATTCTGACGATTCTGATGCCGAGGAATCGCCCAAGATCAGAAAACGCATTCCATCAGCGTCAAGTTCGGAACAAGCAGAAAGAAGGTCATTCAGTTCTACAAGTCTTCGTAGCGGCAATTCGGAAAAGCGTTTATCGGAACTGTCGGGCTCCGAAAGATCGTCATCCGACAGTGAGCTGGATATCAATGAAGGCAATAAATCTAGAAAGCGAAAGTTAGTGGCGTCCAGTGGAGAAGAAGCATCGTCATTTTCTAGCAGGGACAGTAGTCCGGAACCTGCTGAAGATCTAGAACCACTAGTGAAAAAGATTTCTAGTCCATCTGAATTTTCCTCAAACAAAATTGGAATGGAGCAAGAATCTTCTGCAACAGCAAACGGTCCAATTCTCGAAGAAGCGATCACCTCTGGTCCACTCACATTAGATTCCAGTTATCTCTCTTATAAAATAGTCAACTGGGAGGAAGCCAACCGCTCGGTTAGTAATCTACCAGGAAACAGTATACGTTCAGAAGAATATCACCCATTCACCACGGAACACTGTTATTTCAAGATTGAACACAGGAAACATTCGGAAATTCAAATTTTCGACAAACACCCAGAGCTGCTAGATGGACAAAAACCTTTGATAATATCTCCAGCTCCTTGGGGAGGCATGCCTGATTTCGGCATCGAAGGAACAGGACCGCTAATTTACATGGATTCTGTGGATGATAAGCCAGCTACAAACGATTTTCCTCGAAAGAAACAGAAACCGAGAAAACAAGTTTTCGAAAAAGATTACTATGAGTTCAAAGAACCAGAAATCATCAAGGTAAGCTCCTGAACGTTCCGGTTTTCATGAAAATTTTTTTTGTAGCCACCAGCTGCTCCACGGCCCAAGAAAATTTATAAAGAACGCACTGCCGAAGAGAAAAAGAAAATTGTTCATGATTGTGCTAATTTACCCGATCTAGAAGATCAGTGGTACATGCGTAGTGTTCTGAATCGTATGCAGTCTATCATGCCTGTTGAAGAGTTACCATGGAAGCGGATATTGGCTTTCAGAGAGATGATTATGCCTGAAGAGCCTGTTTTGAGAGTGAGTACTTGTTAAATTACAGATTGATTATGAGTTTTTGAAGGTCAATCCGATCCGATCGAAAAAAGGACTGCCGGAAGCATTCTACGAAGATCCAGAACTGGACGGAGTTATCCCTGTTGCAGAAGGATGCGCACGAGCTCGTCCGTACAAAAAGATGACGATGAAACAAAAAAGAAGTCTTGTTCGTCGTCCGGAGAACGAGTCACATCCAACGGCAATATTCAGTGAGAGGGATGAGACTATAATGCGACATCAGCACGTGGCCAACAAGGATATGCGATTGCTTCAACGGAGACTTCTCGCTACACTTGGAGACACGAACAATGACTTCTTCAAAATCAATCAATTAAAGGTATTTTGTAGAATTGGTTTTCCAGTGTATACGGTTTGTTATTGCAGTTCCGCAAAAAGATGATCAAATTCGCCCGCTCTCGTATTCATGGATGGGGACTCTACGCTCTTGAAACTATTGCACAAGACGAGATGATTGTGGAATACATTGGCCAAAAAGTACCTAATCTGAGCGATTTCAGAATTAATTCATTATTACATTCCAGATTCGTTCACTTGTGGCAGAAGAACGCGAAAAAGCATACGAACGGCGTGGAATCGGTAGCTCATACTTGTTCCGGATCGACGAACACTCGGTCATCGATGCAACGAGAAGAGGAAATTTCGCTCGTTTCATTAATCACTCTTGTCAACCCAACTTTATGCCAAGGTGAGTGTTTCTATCCAAACTGACATCATAAGCTATATGGTTTTATAGGTATTGACTATCGAAGGCGAGAAACGAATTGTAATCTACAGTCGAACAGTTATCCAAAAGGGTGATGAGATCACATACGATTACAAGTTTCCTCTTGAAGATGACAAAATCGACTGTCTCTGTGGTGCCAAATCGTGTCGAGGATACCTCAATTAGTTGGTACATTGTACTCTGTGCCTTTTTGATCTCTTCTAGTTTTTTATACAATTGTGAACTTGTGCTTAAAGGGGGACTTGAAGGTAATATTAAAAATGTATATTGCTAGAAAAATTAATATCTTTTAAGGTTTGGACCTCAGGTAAATCGGAAAACCTTTCTGAGCTACATTTGAGCATTTGAGCAATTCTGAAACCTTTTCAAGCAAAAAGTCCACGATTAAACTTTTTTAAGCCACAATCAAACTTTTCAAACTTTTCTAAGCAACTTGTAAACTTTATTCAGCAGCGCCCGAAACTGAAACTTTTTAAAGCCAC